ATAAGCCTAAACCATGGATTACAAACATGGTCAAATTTATGATGAAACTTCGCGATAAAGCTCTAACGAAAGCGCAGAAAGACAAAAAGACTTATGCTCGAAAGATTATTACCGAAATTTAAGAAATTTTGTTACTGCAACTATTTAAAGAGAACGAAAAGCCTACTATAATAATTTTGTAAATAACAATATGAAAAATCTGACTCTACTTTGGAAAAACATAAAAAACAGTACCCAGTTTGATTACATGCACAAATCCATAATTCCTGAACATCTTAATGACCGCGATAAAATCAACGACCACTTTTTGAATTTACCAGTCAGAAACGAAACAAATGTTCAAAAAAACCTTCACTAGTTTAATTGATACACAAGAACTTGACATGTTGGTCCTAAAATCTACTACAGAACATGGAGTAAAAGTTATTATTGATAATATAAAGACCAATGCAGAGGGACACGATGGCATTAGTATAGGGATGATTAAGATGACTGTAGATGTGACTCTTCCTATTATTACGAGCATACTGAATAAGTCAATTGAAACAAATACTTTTCCATCATGTTGGAAAAGAGCACTGGTAAGGCCCATACCTAAAAAAAATTCTTCTACTGAAATAAAATACTTGCGTCCTATTTTGATTTTGCCAGTACTATCTAAAGTTTTAGAAAAAGTGGTATTAAATCAAGTGCTGAACTACTTAGAAACCAAAGATATAATATCTAAATTTCAGTCGGGCTTTCGCAGGGGTCATGGTACAGAAACTGCACTTTTACATATCACAGACGACTTGACTGAGGCTTCGGATATGGGGATGAGTAGTATAATGGTATTACTTGATTATTCTCGAGCATCTGACTGTTTGGAAACTGAACTACTTTTACATAAGCTAAGTTGCTATGGATTCTCAAAGAATACATGTCTTTGGTTTCACAGTTTCCTCGCTAATAGAGAACAAATTGTAGAAACCGACGACAAATACGGAGAAAAAATACGGTCGTGTCTCAGGTCTGTTCAGCGCGGCATGCCTCAAGGCTCTCTACTTAGTCCAGTTCTATTTACAATTTTTACAGCAGATCTACCTAGGCATATAAAGTTTTGTAAATGTCACTTATATGCTGATGATACACAACTGTACTACTCGTTTCACAGTAAAGACGCTCGAGAAGCTATTGAGAAAGTTAATGATGACCTGAGAAGTATCCACACGTGGTCTGAAAATAACTCTTTAGTTCTCAATGCAGCTAAATCTCAAATGTTGGTCCTAGGCACTAAACGCCAAATAAAAAATGTATTAGACGTTGGAGAAAAAGTTAAAATAAATAATGTTATTCTGGAACAAGTAACCTCTGCCCGTAATCTCGGCCTAATTTTAGATGAAGAACAAAAATTTATTGATCACGTTAATAACAAAATAAGGACAGCATTTTTCAAGCTGAAAACGCTCTACGAAATCAGACCATATCTTAAGGAGGATTTACGGATACTTTTATGTGATACTCTGGTACTATCTCAATTTAATTACTTCAGTTCCACCTTTGGTCCAAGACTAAAGTTTAACACAGAGAGGGCAATACAAAGAGTGCAAAATACATTTGTTCGTTTTTGCTTTAATGTGCCCAAAAGAGAATATATTACCCCGTACTTAAATAAAAAAGTTAACATGAGTGCTAGAAAGGAGCTTCAGTACGCTTGTACAGTGCATAGGGTAATATGGAACAAAAAAGCCTGAGTACCTATTTGAAAAACTCCTATGGATCAAAGACATTTCACATAGAAACCTTCGTACGAACTCGTTAAACATGTTAAGTATGCCAAAACATAAAACAACGCGGTACAGAGGATTTTTCAAATTTGTTGCAGCAAGGATATGGAACGATTTGCCCCCTCCTATGAGAAATAAAATGAGTACGGATAGCTTTAAAGCTAAATATAAATTAGCATTACTGAAGCGGCAAATTGCTGCAGAAAACTTGAAACATACCTACTGGAAATACATAAACTTAAGAGACTTTTTTTAACATTATGATATAACCCTTATAAAACATCCCCGTGTATTATAAACTGAACAATCAGCACACACACACACACACACCACACACACACACACACGCACACGCGCCCACGCGCACACACACACACACACACACACACACACACACACACACACACACACACACAAACACACATACACACATATAAGTTCAAAGAAAGGAAAGTTTATTTTATATTTTCTATTTCTCGTGTTGTTTTTGAATCTGTTGTTAGCTCATTTCGTAATGGTTGTTTAATGCATATTTTTTAATGTTTTTAGTTTGTCTTTAATGTTTTTAATATTTTTTTTTGTATTTGCGATTTAATATTTATATAATTTTTTTTAATTAAAAAAAATATTTTATATTGATATAATATTTAATTACTTTGTACATAGTTTAAAAGTATAAGTCAGGTAAATTGGGGAGCCTGCTACTTTGGACTCCCGCACAACACCTCAGGGAGGAGGGAGCGGCTGAAAAACAGCTCTGTATGAGATCTGCATCTCGTTACAGACAAAGCTGAGCCGTCTCCTTTTGTCTCAAATAATTATAATGTTCTTTTGTTTTAAAGTGAATGTAACTGAGTGTTTTAGAGGCAATAAAATTTATTATTGTGGGGTATCTATATAGTTTTCTCATCTGGTTGGGTTCTATAAATATATAATTATAAATGAAAATGAAAAGATAAATATACATAAATATCAATAACATAAAATAAATATAAAAGTACATAAATAAATAAGAGCCCAACCAGATGGAGGCCCTCGGCAGGGGAGACCAAACGGCCGAGGGGTAGGGGGAAAGGGAAAGAAACCGGCGGACGATGCAGGCGGGATCGAGGAGCACCGCCTTGTGTAGTTGAGCCCGGAGCGGTCCGTCACGGAGTCCCAGTCGCCTCAGATGACCCGAGAGGCTGACTGGGATTAGCCCGTTTGCAGAGACGACTACAGGAATAATTTCGGTCGGCAGACCACCCCACATGTCGGTCACCTCGTGAGCCAGGTCCAGATATTTTGTTTGCTTATCTGTTTCGGCTTTCACGAGGTTCTCGTCATACGGAACGGTAATGTCGACCAAAAATATCCTTGACTGTGCCCGGTCCATCAGCACAATATCAGGCTTATTCGCAAGGATAGTCCTGTCTGTGATGATGGCCCGGTTCCAATAGGAGCCTGGCGCGATCATTTTCGAGCACGGCTTCCGGCAAGTACTTGTAATACGACAATTTCTGATCCACGAGACCGTATTTCAGAGCAAGCTCCTGGTGTAGAATTCTGGCTACTAGGTTGTGCCTGTGCAAGTACTCAGATTTAGAAAGCGCCGAACAACCGGAGATAACATGCCTAAGTGACTCACCGGGATGGCGAAAAGCTCGACAGATGTCGACGGTGCCATCCTTTAGGACGGCACCGTCGACAATTGTCGTCTGTCGTCGTGATGGTCTTAATAACCTGATCCTGTATTGCACAGACAAAACCCTCGGTTTCCCCGAAGAGATCACCAAAGCGTAGCCAGTGGAGGGAGGCCACTGTGTCTACGAAAGGCTCATGTAGAGCCTTGTAGAACCTCCCGTGGAGCTCCTTCTCCTTCCATACGGTCTCCCGGTCGGAAATACTCTTCACTGCCGGGTCTTGCTATTGCTCGTTGGCTAAGGATAGAGGGGTAAGTCCTTTATCACAAGAAATGACGTCCTTATAGAATGGATCATCCGATCTCGCCAGGAAGTAATCACGGAGGCTGCACACTTCGCGATTATGCATGGTGAGCGCGCTCAAGAAGCCACGACCACCATGGTTCCGCGGCAAGTACAGCCTCATTACCGACGATCTCGGATGATGCATCCTATGGGACGTCATGGTAGTGCGGACTTTTCTATCCAGGGGCGTTAAGTTCAGTCTGAGTCCACCTGAGTATGCCAAAGGTATACATAAGGACAGGTATGACCCAACCGTTATATGCGTGTGTCTTATTCACACCGGACAAAAGGCTGTTAAGCACTTTGGTCAAGCGTGCATAAAACACGTCGCAAACTGACTGTTTCATACCAGTATCATCGATACTGATGTTTTGTGACATACCCAGGCATCGGTATGTTTCAGCCTCGGAAAGGGTTATTAAGTTGACGGGCATAGATAAGTCTATGCCCTCAGAGTTAGCAACCCTTCCCATTTCAACATGGAGGACCGCACACTTATCCGTCCCAAGCTCCATTCCAATGGAATTGCTAAATTCACAAGTGATGTTTAGCAATTCCATAGGATGGGAGCGACTGGAAGCGAATAACTTGAGGTCATCCATATAGAAAAGGTGGGTCACTTTTGTCCCTCCTTTCCGTAGCTGAAATCCCCTCCCGGAGCCCTCCAGTAAGGTACTGAGAGGGTTCAGAGAGAGGCAGAACCAGATTGGACTCAGACAATCGCCCTGGAAGATACACCTTCTTATCCTTATGTGGTTCTCCGCAGCCATCATCCGCTCGCCCAGATGACAAAGGATCGTACTCCACTGCCCCATACACTGCTCGAGGAAGTCTCTAACTGTACAGTCTATCTTGTACAGCTCGAGGACTCTCTTTAGCCATGTATGGGGCACCGAGTCGAATGCCTTTCTGTAGTCTATCCAGGCGGCGGAGAAGTTCCGACGGTTGCGTTACACCACTTTGCCAATGACCGCGTCAATGAGGAGTGGGTCCTTGATTCCACGACCACCGCCCCGACATCCATTTTGTGCGCGCGACATCACCTGATTTGAGTCCAGGTGACAAGTGATTCTCGCGCTCAAAATGGATGTTAGTGTCTTGTATATAGTCGGTAGACACGTGATGGGGCGGTATTTGCTCGGGTCTGTGGTACCCTAGTCTTTAGGAACCAAATGTGATACACCATGAACCCCTTCAGCCAGTAGTGATGCAGCCTGTCAAGCCCCGGACTTTCCAGTTCGGGGCCCTAGGGACCGCCTCAGCTACGTCATCCGGCGTTATGATGACGGGGTCCATAATAGAGGGTAATACCCTCACACTGACTCGCCACAACTTCCGTCCAAGGGCCCTCGCTGTGGTTTACGGGCTCTGACCACAGGCCGCGCCAGAATGCTACAGTGTCGGCCTGATTCGGTGCTGGACCCGTTCCACTTAACATTGGTCGCTCCAATGATTCATAGAGCCTCTTCTGATCGCTCTGGAAGAGACGATTCTGGTTGAACCGTGTAGACTTCTCGGTATATCGCCGAATCCGCTTTCCCCAAGCAGCGATTCTCTGCTTCAGATCATCTATGCGCTCCGTCAGTTTTTGCGTTATATACGGCTGGAACAAACTGACATTTGTCCCAGCAAACGTCATCCTGACGGTGCGCACAATTCTTGGCCTGTTGTTACCTGATCTGAAGCATATCAGTCTGCCGATGAGAGCTCTAGCCTTTGCGATACGTTCCTCAATTCTTCTTCTCCATGCTATGATAGCGCTACTATGGCCAGTAGCGCGTCCAGCCGTGGAAACCTTGGCGCCTATGATACGGCAGACTGCCAGCGCGGAGCCAAAAAGAATTGAGTCCGTCTCGCAAAGGTCCCGGCTGGCTTCCAAATAGGTCACCAGCATTGGGTTCAGAGCCCTCACGATAGCCCCATTCCGCTTGTTTAGGGCTATGCGGGGAAGTCGTGGTCGATTTTCGAGAGGCGTATTACGCGTTTCCACAATCGCCTCTTCCAATGTACTCCTCATATGCTCTAATTCCAGTTCCTGGGCGACTGTTCCATCATCGTTTGAATCAACCACAACTGGGGTATTCACGGCGGCATCCACGTTTGCGGGTTGCTCTACCATTTGTGGCGCCGCATACTCAGCCGTAGCATTCTCATCCGACGAGGGAACAGCCTCACGTCGTAGCTGTTCGAGTTCGGCGACATCAAATATATTTGAGCGCAAGATATACTAAACTCGGTCGGCCAGGTTTTGCTCTGTTAAAGATGGCTCCAGCTCAGCAAAAAGACGATGCATCCTAGCCCGATACGCCAAACATCCAGTTTCTTCCCCTTTTGCCCTAAAGTACGCCCGCAGTGCGTTTGCATTCATTGCTTGTGACCAACGCATGCGACGTGCTCCACCAGCGGCGGGTGCCGCTTGCTGAGTCCGAGAAGACCCAGCCGACACCAAGCCTTCTGGTGGGGATGATGGATGCGGAGGGCTGCTAGGTGACCGTGCAGCTCCTCGCGCTCGGCTGGCGGCCCGCATGCTGCCTCGTCCAGCGCCAGCTCCAGACGCGCCCCGGCGACCCACAGGCAGCGGCCCTTTGCGCACTATCTTCTTATCCATTATCCATTATTTGGGTGTCCATTAACGGGAGACGCCCAGGCCCGGCACCGTTTCGTGTATAGCCATAAGCACAAACGGGCCTCTGCACCCTAAATTCTGCCGAGGCACGGCGCTCACACCTCTCGCAAGGCGCTGACTGACTGCGTTGACGTAGCAGTTTTGTCACTTAACTGTTACGTCAGCGGGCGATGGGGTCGTCAATTCCCTAAGCCTTTAAAAATTTATTATTATTATTATTATTTTTGGGGTATCTATATAGTTTTCTCATCTGGTTGGGTTCTATAAATATATAATTATAAATGAAAATGAAAAGATAAATATACATAAATATCAATAACATTAAATAAATATAAAAATACATAAATAAATAAAAGCCCAACCAGATGGAGGCCCTCGGCAGGGGAGACCAAACGGCTGAGGGTTAGGGGGAAAGGGAAAGAAACCGGCGGACGATGCGGGCGGTATCGAGGAGCACCGCCTTCTGCATTTGAGCCCGGAGCGGTCCGCCCCGTAGTCCCAGTCGCCTCAGATGACCCGAGAGGCTGACTGGGATTAGCCCGTTTGCAGAGACGACTACAGGAATAATTTCGGTCTGTAGACCACCCCACATATCGGTCACATCGTGAGCCAGGTCCAGATATTTTGTTTGCATGTCTGTTTCGGCTTTCACGAGGTTCTCGTCATACGGAATGGTAATGTCGACTAAAAATATCCTTGACTCTTCCCGGTCCATCAGCACAATATCAGGCTTATTCGCAAGAATAGTCCTGTCTGTGATGATGGCCCGGTCCCAATAGAGCCTGGCGCGATCATTTTCGAGCACGGCTTCCGGCAAGTACTTGTAATACGGCAATTTCCGATCCACGAGACCGTATTTCAGAGCGAGATTCAGATTCAGAGATCCTGGTGAAGAATTCTGGCTACTAGGTTGTGCCTGTGCAAGTACTCAGAGTTAGAAAGCGCCGAACAACCGGAAATGACATGCCTAAGTGACTCACCGGGATGGCGACAAGCTCGACAGATGTCCACGGTGCCATCCTTTAGGATGTATCTTCGATAGTTGTTGGTCTTAATAACTTGATCCTGTATTGCACAGACAAAACCCTCGGTTTCCCCGAAGAGATCACCAAAGAGTAGCCAGTGGAGGGAGGCTACTGTGTCTACAAAAAGGCTCATGTAGAGCCTTGTAGAACCTCCCGTGGAGTTCCTTCTCCTTCCATACGGTCTCCCGGTCGGAAATGCTAAGCACTGCTGGGTCCTGCCATTGCTCGTTGGCTGAGGATAGAGGGGTAAGCCCTTTATCACTAGAAATGACGTCGTTATAGAATGGATCATCCGATCTCGCCAGGAAGTAATCACGGAGGCTGCACACTTCGCGATTATGCATGGTGAGCGCGCTCAGAAAACCACGTCCACCATGCATTCGCGGCAAGTACAGCCTCATTATCGACGATCTCGGATGATGTATCCTATGGGACGTCATGGTAGTGCGGACTTTTCTATCCAGGGCGTTAAGTTCAGTCTGGGTCCATCTAAGTATGCCAAAGGTATACATGAGGACAGGCATGACGCAACCGTTATATGCGTGTGTCTTATTCACTTCGGACAAAAGGCTGTTAAAAACTTTGGTCATGCGTGCATAAAACACGTCGCAAACTGACTGTTTCATACCAGCCTCATCGATACTGATGTTCTGTGACATACCCAGGTATCGGTATGTTTCAGCCTCGGAAAGGGTTATTAAGTTGACGGGCATAGATAAGTCTATGCCCTCAGAGTTAGCAACCCTTCCCATTTCAACATGGAGGACCCCACACTTATCCGTTCCCAGCTCCATTCCAATAGAACTGCTAAATTCACGCTCGAGAGTAGAAATGTCGAGAGAGAATAGTCGCTCGAGTTCGGCGTCACCAAATATGTTGGAGCGCAGGATGTACCTAACTCAGTCTGCCAGGTTTTGCTCAGTGACGGATAGAGATGGCTCCAGCTCTGCAAAAAAGCGATGCATCCGAGCCCGATACGCCAAACATCAAGTTTCTTCCCCCTTTTGCCCTAAAATACGCCCGCAGGGCGTTTTCAATCATTGATTTAGACCAACGCATGCGACGTGCTCCACCAGCGGCGGGTGCCGCTTGCTGAGTCCGAGAAGACCCAGCCGACACCAAGCCTTCTGGTGGGGATGATAGATGCGGGGGGCTTCTAGGTGGTCTTGCAACACCCCGCGCTCGGCTGGCGGCCCGCATGCTGTCGCGTCCAGCGCCAGCTCCAGACGCGCCCTGGTGACCTCCAGGCAGCGGCCCTTTGCGCACTATCTTTTTTTCCATCATCCATAATATGGGCGTCTATTAACCGGAGACGCCCAGGCCCGGCACCGTATCGTGGACGGCCATAAGCACAAACGGGCCTTTGCACCCTGAATTCTGCCGAGGCACGGCGCTCACACCTCTCGCAAGGCGCTGACTGACTGCGTTGACGTAGCAGATTTGTCACTTAACTGTTACGTCAGCGAGCGATGGGGTCGTCAATTCCCTACGCCATTTTATTAATAATATTATTATTATTAATTCTGAATCCTGATAACACCTTGTGCGATACTGTGTATAGAAAAGAGACCCATAGAGATTGATATTTAAATGGTGATTCTCACCACCATCCTTCACAGTTAGCTATCGTGGCTAAATCTTTGTTTCAGAGAGCACGAGGGATCTGTGACTGTAAACACCTGGCTGCCGAGCTCCACCATGTCAAGCAAGTTTTGCATGACAACAAGCTTCGGGTCCCGCGCCTACGACACAGTGAACGAGTGAAGCCGGCCACAGTCGAGCGTGTACCTGCTGTACTGCCATGTAGTATCTACCTAGTACCTATACGTATGTTTGGGTATAATCTAATATATAAACTTATCAATAACGTAATTACAGGCAGTCTTACGTCAACACTCAAGCGTTTCATTTCTCTCGTCCTTACATGGCGACCCTGCCAGTCGGTGCGCGCACGACTCCGCTCGCCGCGTGCACCGACTGGCCACCGATAGTTAAATTTTAATAAATACGTAAAAAATTGAGAAAAAATTCCTGGATTGAGAAAATTAATTAAAGTCGTGTAGAGCCAGCCATCAAAAAGTTATATCATTGTGAATAAATATTTACAAAATAAAATTAAAACATAAGAAGTATAAAATCAAAAGGCAAAGCTGCATCAAAAAGGAGAAGAGAGGATAAGAGAAATAACTTTTTCACTCCGGATATGAAGAATATTATTTGAGAAGATCTAAATTGAAGTACGCAATGGTGTTCACATAGGAAATTTTACACTATCAAGATATATGTGCTCAATTTTCAAAAACTCGTAACAACCAAGCGAAACAAAAAGGACATATTTATCAAAACATAAAATTATCAAGAATTTAATTGAGTGGCCAGTTTTTAGGAGGACTGAATTTTTCGTGTACTCTATCTACAAGAAAACAGAAAGTATGTTATTTGCAAGAAACAAAAAAATTAATAGAGACTATAATGTGAAAAATATGCTTGATGTATATGCAAAACAATTACTGTATAAAATGCAAATTATATGATTACATTTATAAGATGAGTGATTTTAAATATTTATCTCTTATAAAATTCTAATTTTATAAAATTAAAAATATAATAACTTTAGTCACCACTCATATTTAGATTGGTTTTTTTTACCGAACACTCTCAATAGAAAGCAAGTGCCTATATAATATCCTTATTATTTTAGCGTGCTTATTTTAATTATCTATTTTATTATAAAATATTTAACATAATGAATTAAAAAAAGGAACTTTATTATATTGCTATCAATGAATAAATTTTGTGAAAGATAAATTGATCGGTGAATAATATTAATTTAAAACGCAGCTTTACTTAATAACGCAAACTGATATATTTTATTAATAATAAAAATTGCAATATTATTCTATATAATAGATATTATTTAAGAATTCATCAAATGTAATATCATGTTTTCTTTGCATTAACATTGCGCATCCAATTCTAAACAATGCTGACGTGATCTATTGCATATAAAGCATCGGAATATTACACGTAGTTAATACAGAATTATGCATTAATATACACTACTGTTGTCTCCTGATTTGCCTTCAAAATATTAACTATACTTTTTCATTTACTTTATCTCAGATTAAAATCCAGTATTCAACTGATAAAAAAGACTTGATAAAATAAACTATTATTTTGTAATACGAAACTTTAAAGTAGTTCGATACTTTTTTGAGATAATTTGATTACTTAATTTAGGTTAGAATTTAGGTCTAATGACATATGGACAAATATTAAACAACTTATATAACAAAAAAAATACGAAATAGGATTAATTATGTCAAAGAAAGGAAACTGTATGAGAATGTTGAGGTTTTGATTTATGGATGTGTGAAATTTGAAGATAGACTGCGGCAAAGAAAGGAATACTTACATAATAGTATGGATTTCAAATGTATATATAGGATGACGTAAGTGATGTTTAGA